ACTCTTTTAGGGTGATCTATAAAGAGATGTTAGTTAGAAAGATAATATCTTTTGGAGAGGTTCTTGCGCCATTGTAATCGAGCTTCTTTTACTACTAATGAAAAATCATATCATATTTACATTCCCGTGTTCATTTAATTTCCTGGTTACGGTCATGATTTCAATCTTAAAGAATCTTGATGATGTTACACAAACATGATATCTCCCAATATTATTTATGCATCACATTCTAGACTTGGTTATTTTTAGTAGCCACAAAGCTTAATACGCCAATTTTATAATTTTATGATGTGTTTTATGATATCTTACGCATCTATTAGAGAGTCATGAAATGAGGTTTGGTTTTAGACTAATGATTAAGAGAAATCACCGACTACCCGTCTAAAACCCTAAAACATATGTGGGTCTTCTTAATGGAAACCGTACCAAATAAAAAGTCAATGAGTTCATGGGAGGAACTTAAATGTATATGATAACCTAGGAACCATTTACTAATTGCGATAAAGAAAATAAAATGAAAGGTTAAAATTAAAAAAAAAAAATCATGTAGATGTTACATCTATACCATTTCTACATGGTTGGACTAGAATCTGCTTATGTTGTATGACATTTATGTTGATAACTCGCTCAAACGAACTACAACATATCACAAGAGTTAAATGAGTCCAAAATCATCTCCTTCGATAACTTATTTAGTACATTTTGATATTTTATGCTCAAATGAACATTTATCGTTTGATGGTCACTTATATTATTAACCATAAAAATTATTGTCTCGTAATAAAAAGAAATGATTGAATCTTTAGTTTATGCAATATAATCTCATTATTTCACAAACTTGTGTGATACTCCCATCAAGTTATCGTGACTAATTTTGTTGTAGTACCCAAAAAGTATTAAGATTTTTGAAAAGCTTTTGAAACACAAAAACATTGTTACATTTGTATATAAACTAAACATTAACATGATTGGAATAAAAATAGATGCAATGAGTGTTAATGGTGTTCACGGTTTGATAAAAGTAATTGGATGACCAAAAGACCTGTAACCTAACAATATTAGGAATTGACGAAATTCTTTCAGGTGTAGATCGTAGGTTTAAATATTGTTGTGGACAAAAATGTAATTTAATAGTGGAATAGAGTATACATGTGTTTGGTATTCAAAAATAAAATAAGATGAAATTAATATAGTATGTAGTCAACAATATTGCATTATTATATTTTTTAAAGTTTATTTAATTCTATATCTATTTATTATTTATGTAGACTGAAAAAGACAAATATTTGAATATATGTTTTATGTTACTAATCAGCAGAATTTTCGTTATTAATATTTTAAACCTACAATAAAAGACATTTTTAAACATGCATATAAATTATTAAATATTTGTATAGTTAAAGCATCTTCAATGCTAAACTTATACTATGATTCAAAACTATTATTATTTTATCATTCCACTAGCTTTAAACTTTAATTAAATTACATCTCTAGTTATTAATTTCTTGGGAAAATGACATAAATGTCCAACAAACTTTCTAGGGTTAAAATTTTAAATCCCTAAACTAATTTCGTGTCTTTATAGGGGCATAAGGTTAGAAGCAACCTGTCTTTTTAGTTCTTCTAACCTATTGTAGCCGGTTTCAAGGACATATCGGCTATTTTCCATTTAAAAGTCAAAACAGGGATGACAATGGGTACGAGTATACCGGGTTTCGTGTTCCCCATCCCCATACTCGAATCCCATCCCCATCCCCATAACCGACCCCATCTCAATCGGAGATTAAAAATCTATTCCCATTTCCATCCCCAATGGGTATCGGGGATCCCCAATAACTCATAATTATATATTAACCAACAAAACAAAAACTAATATAACTAATATAAAACAATACAATCACTGAATGTCTTCAAACACGAACAATAACATTCAAGGTTACAAATAAAATCACTTTTTACAACAAAAAAAAGACATAAAAATTCTTCTCAAAACTATACGTTTGATTGTTAAAATACCTTACTTTGTCTACTGAAAATATGCTTATGCATTATTAAAAATAAAAACATAAGTAATACTATATATATATATATATATATATATATATATATATATATATATATATATATATATATATATATATATATATATATATATATATATATATCGGGTACCTATCGGGGCCGGTTTCGGGTGCGGGTATGGGTATCCGATAGGTAGAACTATCCCCATCCCCATCCCCGCTTTTTATATTCGGGTAATACCCATCCCCGTCCCCGTCCCCGGTCAACTCGGGGATTTACCCGGTCAACTCGGGTTACGGTTTCGGGTACCCATCGGGTACGGGTTTTTTTGCCATCTCTAAGTCAAAAACACATTTTGATTTTCTCAAAATTGATTTCCATTTTGTTCTTATTATATACAAATACACCATAAACCTCCTCTTAATACTTCCTGGGCAGTCGAATCTATCCCGTAATCACAATTCTTCTCAAAATCGACGCCTTTTCCGGAAGGTGAATGTGGACGCAATTTGAAAGAAAGGAGGGCATATCATGAAGGTGAATGTGGGAGACTTTTAGATGGTGTCGTACGTCCCACTAATGGCATCACATACTTTTAACCTGATTCGTCCAACAACTGGAGACCGGAGACGAAACAGAGTGGTTTGCTCGATCCGATGGTTTTGATTTTGGAATAAGGCTTTGGTTTCAATATATTTACTGTCTCGATTTTGGGTTTTGATTGGTTAAAAGGTAGGGTTTCGGTTTTGAATTTTTTGTTTGGATATTGTGTTACAGTGTCGTTTTGTTGGTAGCTTCATCATCATCCGCTCTCCAACATTTATAGGTTCCACCCACGGATCCAAGTTTCTACATCGTGGCTCTATCACACATCTTCTCAAATCAAAATCTTTGCAATTGGTAATGTTTGAGTGATAATGAACACATATATTTGAATCATGAGGAGTAATAAATTAGTGTTTTGGAAGGTAGGTTACGACTGCAACAAAGTTGAAGAAGACTAGTTTTACATTCAAAAAAACCATTGAACAACAGTGGTGGGTTGAATCAAGATAACCCCACTACTACCAAGTCAAAGAAATGCAGGGGTACAAGCTGCTAATGCATGAGGTACAACTTACAAGTCTATTGGATTGTCCTCCCACACACAGAAACATGTGACGGAAGACAACACCGTTGTTATCAGCTGTTGGACGTAAAATGACGCCGACAAACTCCGTATCCAACGAAACAAAAGGGTAATCGTCGATAAAGGATGAAATTATACCAAACTCGTGTTCCAGGTTATCGGCGTTCACAATTCGCATGAGAAACGGTAGCGTAGGAGACGTGAAGTTGTCGATCGACATTAGAGCAGTAGTAAGAAGGCTCTTTGTTGGACAATTAAGAAATGAGAAAAAGTGGGGCGAAGAAGATGAATAGTACTGGGTTAAGGAATAATTGGTCAACAAACATCTGGTGTGACAAAGGGGTAACCGGATGACCCCTTCATTTTGCTCAAAAGGACCTAATCGACCCGTCAAAGTGTAATTCGTTCCCTTATAAAGCCACAAAATAAGTTAAATGGTTAAATGGGTAAACCCTAGAAACATAATAGGACATATATGTCATTTTCCCAAATTTCTTTCAATATTTTTTAAATAATTCATCACTATTTTTTTTAAATGTTTTATACCCCAAAACCAGTGTTGTAAAACTCGCCGAATTGGCGGATTACTCCTTCGAATACTTGCTACTCGGCCCCTTACCGAGGCGAGTTACAGAATCCCAAGTACTCTCTGATTAGGCCTTTACTGAACTGACTAGTGTTGTAAAACACGGTCAACTCGGTGATTAATATGTATAATATATTTAATGATTTATTATTTAACACACATGTGATTATTACTATATATATATATATATCTTAAATTTTCAGTAATTATTCACGAAGTGAAACCAATTTGTGTTTTTTAGCTTTTGTGTATTCACATGTATCTAATTTTGTTATATATTTCAATCAACTTATGATTTTGACATATATTGTTTCCCTAAAAATATTTCTACATTAATTACCGAATCCGAGTACTCCTCGAGTATTGCTGGGTACTCGCTACTCGGTAGTCGGTCGAACAGGTACCAAGTAACGATTTCTACAACCTTACCCAAAACACACACCCAATTTAATTAATCATTATTTATAGAAATATCATATTTTAATTTAAAACATTGATGTCACGAACAAATGAAAATAGAAATACAAATATGTTAAAGACGAAAAAAGTTAATACAGACAGTTATAAAAAAGATTGAAAATAATATATACTTGTTATAAATCATAAATGAAATTTTATTAAATATTTAATAAAAATAAGTAATTTGTAAATAAATAAATAAAAAATAATTAAAAGTAAAATATAGTTAAGATAGTAAAATAAAATATAACTAAAATGACATAAAAATAGATTGATCTTTCAATATATATTAAATATTTAATAAAAAAACCCAAACAAATTATATGTTCTAAAATAATTGAATGGTCAATATAACAATTAATAGGGAAAATAACTTGTCATTATTGTTCTGGCTATTTCATAATTCACCTCGTGATCAACGGTGCAAGTTTCCGGCTCAGCCCTTCTTCTCTGACGGGAGCAAACGCTGGCAGGGCTTGGGCTAGGTCCCTTCTGCTGATTGGGTTTTTGTTGGGGTGCTCCTGGTTTTTTCGACATTAGGGAGACTTACGTAAGCTGGTGAAGCTATTTCCAAAATTGATTGATCCAATGGTATCTAATCAATCATGTTCCTCCTCTGGTGAGGGTTGGAAGAAGAACAAAAATCACGTTTAAATGACCTCTAATGAAAGAATGCAACATCCTGAGTCACATTCGTTTTATATTACAAATTTCCCATCTTATATTATTCATTCCGATATATAGCGTACATGTTCTCAGTTTGGAAAAGTTTGTGATGTATTTATCTCCAAAAGGTTGTCACATATGGGGAAACGTTTTGGTTTTGTTAGATTTTCGGGCAATGTTAACATTGATCATATGATTAAGAATCTTTGTGAAGTGTGGTTCGGGTATCACAAGTTGTTTGCTTCTGTCCCTCATATTCATAAGAAAGAATTTAATTTCCATAAGGAACCACCTAAGGTGGAGAAGAAACGGGAGAATTTTTCTGTTTCATATGCAAATGTAGTAAGAGGTGGTCATAGTGAGAAATCTTTATCTGAAAAAGAAGAATTATCCATTGTTCTTGAATTTGGGAATTTTTTTTATTGACAATAAAAAATTAGCGTGTTTAGCTAAGGCTCGTGACTTTAGTACTCTTCTTAATTTGGGTATGTTGTGTCACGATGAAGGTTTTGATAATTTTATTATTTGATATGTGGGTGGCTTGTGGGTGATGTTTGAATTTAAATCCAAAGAAGCATGTAAAAGCTTTTTGTCATGTGATGCGGTTAATCATTGGATCACTGGAAAAAAAATGGGACAAACTTTTTGCTATTTGATCGTATTGTGTGGGTTGATATTGAAGGTCTTCCCCTACGTGATTGGAGTAAGGATTCTTTTAGACATATTTTGGCCAAATGGGGCTCAATTGCTCATCTTGATGATAACATTAGAGAAGACGTGTATAAATCATGTGTATGTATTATCACCTCGTTTCTTGGTATAATTTCTATAGTGATTAAAGTTAGTATTAATGGGGAAATATTCCCCATTCATATCAAAGAAGCTCCCGGTTGGAATCCAACATTCGTATGTGAGTTCAACAATATTGCTAATGATAGTGTTGATGCTATTAACCGATTTGAACAAGAACAAGATGGTAGCAATGATTCATTAATTGATAAGGAAGATGTCTCACTTGATCCTTTTGGTATTTATGATGTAATGAAAAAAAATGGATAATGAAGTGGAATTAAAAAAAACTAACCAAGCTGAAAAAGAGTTTATATATTGTACATATTTAACCATTGAACTTGTTATATTGTTAACATATTATCATTGTCACCCGCTATAGCAGAGGACAATGATAATATGTGAAGAAATTAAAAAGTTAAATGGTTAAATATATACAAAAAAAGTTGTACAAATATGAATAAAACGAAAAATTAATTACCCGATAAGTAATTTTCCTTACTTTTAGTAACAATTTTATTTTTCATATTTGTTTATATTATTTTTTTCAAACGTTATTTTTACAATATTCATCACTTCCTAAATATTAATTAAATATTGATCAATTATAAACTTCACATTTTAATTAATAAATATGTTTTTGTTTTGTGAAATATTTTATATAACCTCTTATATTTTTTTTTCTTTTGTTTTTAAGTATATACAATATTTTTAAAGTAAATAGTATCTAACAATAATATTAAATAAACGAAGTATGTAAAAATAACTATGGAGGGTCTTTTAAAAAATAAAAAGAAAATATTGCTTAGCAAATAAAAAACAAAAAAATCTATATAATGTAAATGTTTTGAAATAATTACAACTTTTTAATACTTTTTAATTAGAAGTTTATAAACTTTTAACTTTTTTAATATAACGTTTTAAACTAGTATTTAATGAAATTATTTTAAAATGTTATAAAAAAAATATTAAATTCTCATACAAATATATGAAACACTTTAAAAATGTTGTAAAATAAAGTTTAGAAATAAATGTATGAAAGTTATAAAAAAATTGTTTGCAAATGTATAAGAAAAAACAAGTTAAAATCTTGTAAGAAAAACTTAAAACATTTATAAAATATTTGGTTTAAAAGCACTTATATTAATATTATATGAAAGTATAAAAAAAGGTTACAAAAAATTATAAACAAACTTTAACACATTGTATTAGAAAACCTATAGAAAAAATATCATAAAAATATTGTAAGAAATTATAAAAAATCTTAAGAAATTTATAATTTTTTTTTTACATTTAGATAATTTTTTTTGTATATATTTAACCATTAAATTTATTAAATATATTAACATATTACCATTATCACCTGCTATAGCAAGTGACAATTGTAATATGTAATCACATTTAACAAATTAAATAATCAAATATATATTAAAAAATAAAATTGTATAAACATAAACAAAACAAACTCTCACAATTTATTTTCCCCAAATTAATACCATTACTTATGTCTCTAAACCCAACAATATTGTCTCATTCATCTTCGAGGTCTAAAGCTGACAAGAAAGAGAAAAAATGGTCCAAATGAATAAATCTAAAATTCCCAAGGGCTTTTTATAACTTTGGAAAATAATAGGGGTTGTTCAGTCATTTCAAATTTGCTTTGTTTTTAGCCCATTAATAAATATATTAAGCCTAATTATTTCATGTTAGATAATCATATCTCCTTAGTGGCTTGGCCGCACGAGCGGGTCCTTTCTTCAAAGATAATAAAATAAAATTTTGTGTAATTTTAAAAATAATGTCTTACCAAATTTACCCTTTGATGAAAATGTATCCCCAATTTGAACCAATTATTTAAAAGTTGCTATTATTCATACATCTCTTATCATTTACTCCATCAACTCTCTATTAAGAAACTGTTTAAAAGAAGTATAAAAAATGAAATATTACTTTTATTAATATGATATTGATGTGATATGAGATTATTATCTAGTATAATATTTTGTTCCTCCAATAGGGATAAAATACGTGTCTGATCTCGATAAAAGGGTGTTTCGTGAAAAAAGAATTAACTTTGTATAGAAGAATGTTAAAAAACGTTGGAGGGGGGACAAAGCAAATAAGCAAAAGTATAGGGAAGTGTGAAGGGAAATTATCACAAAGTAGACCACATGATTGCAAGCCAAACGGGCGTGGTCGCTTTATAAGAGAAGAAAGCCGCTTTTATCACATGGCTTTTTGTATTTTCAATTTCCCCCTCCCACTTTCCAAAAAAGGCACAATAACCCAAAAGTCTTCTTATTATTTCCATGTTCTTTCTCATTATTCGTTTCTCGTTCTCTCTTTTCTTGTACATTTAATATTCAGTTATTCACACATACAATATCTAGTTTGATTTTACTAATCTATATATGACTTCATTACAACGTGTGTTTAATGTCATGTGTCTTCATAACATTAACAACTAAACATAATTTTTTTATATTTAACAGAATACTGTATATATATTTTTGGATTATTTATAGTTAGTTTGTCAATGTTTTGATCTTCTTTGATTTAAACTATTTATTATATCACTTGGTTAATTGTTTCAAGATCATAATATCATATTGTATGCCCACAAGAAATCCAAAAGGACACCAAAGGGTTAGACTTTGGTGGGGTTTTTCCATCCTCTTAATTTGAACCTTTATTTCATTTGTTTCTTTTTTCAACCATTTGGTATATAACTTAACTAATCTATTTAAGGCTATGTTTCCTTTTTAAGAAAGCTTTGTTTGAAACAACATTGAGCACACACTTCTTGGATGATTTTTAGTATTGCCATTAAACATTATAACATCAATCCATGTAAAATAATAATTGTATCATTAATATATTTTTTTTCAATAAACTTTTCATTGAAAAATCTAAGACTTGTGTAGGGATGGAGAGTTGTTAGGATCATGTGGGCATAGGAGAAAAGCACATGATTTTCTTTTCTTTTTCTTTTTGAAAAACCTGCCTTCATAATCCTGGTTTCCAAAAGAAAAATGGTGGGGGCAAATGACAAATACTTTAATCTTCTACACATTGGTTTCTAGCCTTTGGTAGTTTGTATCATCATTGAGATTCCCTATTAACCTCTTATACAATCAAAGGGACACTATTCTTTATATTTATTAATTTTATTATATGATATACTAAATCAATTGATAAAATTTATGTAATCACATCTATTTAGATAATAAGAGTTTCATAGATGGGTATTGCTCAATAAGTTCACATAGATGCCTATGGACTAACGATCAAGGATTTTCTCAAGAACAATCGATTGAGCACAATAAAACATATACATGGTATTTGTTTTGTACCATTTTAGCAGGATAACGTCGTAAACAATCATTTTCCACATCCTAGTTCATATCTTTGATGTGCTAGTACAACAAGTGATCATTTGTTGTTAGACTTTGGCACTGCTCCATATTGTTTGGTATATGTCATGTCGAAGGATAAAACCGTTGATATATTTTTTTAAACTAACAATAATTTTATTAAGTTAACAAAGAGCTAGACAAAACAAAACACTACAAGACATAGGAGTCTTGAAGCCAACCAACCCAATTAATATTTACAATTAATATTTCTACTCATCCAGTTAACCCTAACAAAAGTCTGAGTAGCAACCGATATCAATAACATGACTTGCGATTGCAAACGACCATCCTTTTTATGAAAATTACAAACGAACCATGTTGTGTGCAATTTTCAGCGGTTTTGATATAATTATTATTATTTTTTTTTGGCTAAAAGAATGGATTTTTTTTGTTCAAATCCATTTATTATATGAAAGTACGTCTATGTGTTAAGTTTACAAGATGATAGTATGGTTAGATGATGTTAGATTTTAGGGTGATAAAAGGCTTGGAAATTCTGAGAATCGTGTGTACACTTTCAGATTAAAGTAATTTAATAGTACTCCAAACCTTTAATCGGATAAGACTAAGAAGAGTTTCAAGAACACAAAATATGAAGTGTGATTTTCGTGATTGTTGTACAAGGAAAATGATTACCAAAATAATTAAGTACTTCATTTGTCTAAAAATTGTCAATGTAGTTTTATTTATCCAAAAATTACTCCAACTGTCGGAAACAGTCATAAATTGTCACAAAATTGAATCATTAATAAATGCCAATTCGAAGTCAAAAAACCGGGTTCATTTAAAGAAAATTCAGATTTCTAAAGCAATTTTTATATAGTAATATAACTCATATAAAAAATTTCAGCACCAGGGGCGCTGCCTCTAGACCCCCGTTCGTTTAGGGGTTTCGCCCCTACATGACAATCTACTTTGAATATTGAATAAACTAAAACAAGTGTGCACTCCGCACGTTCCTTACTTATTTAATATACATTAAGATTGATTTTTGGTCAACAAGTCAATCCATTACACTTAAATACACATTGATTATACAAAATCACCAGCAAATGATTCAAAAAGTCACCCATGATCTTGCCCTAGCAGGTGAAGAGTAGAGAATCCGTAAGCGAGATTTCATTTTTCAAGCCTATGCATCATTCTTCTATTTGAGGACGTTGTGATTACTTCATGCATAGTGGCTATGAAAATAGGTGATAAGAACTCTCAATGTGGCTTTATCCATCTTTAAATGATTCAAAATGTCAATACTCATACTATTAAGTTATTAGCAACAAGAAATGAAAATTATATTATTTTGTGATTAGGCTGTAAAGAACCCCAAAAAAGGGGGTTTAATGTGCAATTAAAGTAGATGAGTGAGTGTAGTCGAGTGCTATCTATAATATCAATTAACTTAGGTTAATAAATTAATGTGTCACTTTGAGCTATCATTGGTTCCCTTTAATCTCAATATGATGATGGACCATACTGAGTTTTTTGAAATAATTGTTTATTCTTGAAAAGGTCTTAAGTAGAAATATATCAATGACCATGTTCTAGTTTAGTTTTTTGTTACTAACTTTTATGTAAAATGGTCCAATAACATTTTAACAAGTAGTTTGAGCTTAAGAACTATCAATTTGTTATAACGATCAACAATAAATATTGAATATAAATATTTATACTTATGCGTCAAAGAAATTGGTACAAATACCTGCACGTTTCAAAAGTAAAACAGAAAAACAAGCATTTATAATAAGAATGTTTGTGGACCATTATATTTTTCACAATTACAAGATTTTATTAAAGTAAAACAGAAAAACATGCATTTATAATAAGAATGTTTGTGGACCATTATATTTTTCAAAA